AAGCGGCGGCGCAGACGGGGGGGACCCGACTTCGCCACAAGGAGTACCAGGGTTAAGGGGCTGGAATTCCTGTCCTCTATTACATAATGTTGGATTCAAGGGGTATGTATGTGCACCTATCAATTCACTACTTTGAAAGATTTCCTTGGCTCACATGGCAAGGAATAACTACTTGTTCATACAAAAATTATGCTTCTGGAGAGAATAGCAATTGATGGTAAATATTTCTTTCTAAAACATCTGAAAATTGTGGATCATTAATTCTGGATAGCTATGTCCTCTGGCCACTTGTTAAGTAATTGTTAATTTGACAGAAATGCAGTATACAATCCTTCATTAAAAATCTTCACAAACACCACAGTCATATGCAATAATTGTATCTCTCTATATATAAAGACGTTTTTCCTACCACATGACAGAATAATGTCATCAGGCTCTCTGGCCATGAAAGTGGCCAGAGACAGGGGGGTTGGTGAGCATAGTGAGCATGGGATGCAGCCCCCTAGTTGAACTTTATTTTCTGTCTTTTCCTATATTCATTAGAGATATGAATGTAACCATTAACATTTCTGTATTAAATGATACTTCCTGGATTACCCATTGTCTCCCAGGATCTTTGGACAAAGGATGTTAAAATGCATTTATTTTGCTAAACATGTAAGCGCTGAAATTTTCAGTGGTTACACATTTACATGCAAGGGGGAGGCAGCTCTGTGGGAGCCGGTATGTGCGGGGAGTTTGCTGCCCTCCCCCCTCTGCTGCCTCTGTATCAGAGGCAGCAGCATGGGCTGGGGAGGGCAGGTGGGAGCCTGTAAGAATGGGGAGCCGGCCTCCTTCCTCCTTCTCCTTTCCATGAGACTTACCAGCTAGTACCAAAGAAAATGTCTTACTTCTTAATTCTCTCAACATAAGTGGTACTTCCACAGCTTCTATTTCAAGGGCTGGTTGTATTCTTGTTTCTTCTATTTGTGGAAGTAGTGGAACATTTTGTAGCATATTGTCTGCTTCACAGTCCCTGGAGCACTGAAAGGTGGAATTGCTACTGGTATTGAGGTGGCACTGCGTGGAACTGCCTGGGTCCAGTGTTACAAAATTCATCCCTGGTAGTGAAAAAAATTAAGACAAATTTCTTCCACAAACTGATATGTTATTTAGTGCATGCAGGTCCTATGAAACAAAGATTCATGATAAAGCTTGAGTGAAAAAGTTTGACTTAATTGGGCTCTCTTAGGGTATGTCTATACTACCCTCCTAGTTCGAACTAGGAGGGTAATGTAGGCATACCGCACTTGCAAATGAAGCCCGGGATTTGAATTTCCCGGGCTTCATTTGCATAAGCGGGGCTCCGCCATTTTTAAATCCCCGCTCGTTCGAACCCTGTGCCGCGCAGCTACACGCGGCACAAACTAGGTAGTTCGAACTAGGCTTCCTAGTTCGAACTACTGTTACTCCTCAT